TGTACTCGTAATATGAACGTCTCCTTCCAATCAATATTCAATCAAGTTGATGTTCAATGTATCAAAGTTGGACGCTGTGGGAGATCAATCGGCAGTGGCAAGATGCTCACGGCAGTCACGGTACGAACAGCGGCGGCCTTGACCTACCTGATCACCGTGAATCGACGAAGAATAAAAAGATACAGCTATCCAAGGCTGAAAACGAGAACACGCACATCGTACCGCAAAGAAAAAATTCAGTCTTTGAGCGGTTAGAAGATTACAGGGCTCGGTAGCGCCACACATTTCGGCAATTTGCTTCTATAGACCGAGGGAAAACATGAAAAATTCGAGATCCCTAGGAGGAGGTGGGACTTTTTTATATAATGATGAAGCCGCGTAAGCAGAAGTCTAAATACCGGGGCACGGCGACTGCTATAAGTGACTTAATGACACCTGGTTCATCCGATTTTTGAACTGCTTGAGCTTACCAGAACAGGAAAAAATATCCTCAGGCAGATTGTTCCACAATCTCGACACCTTAGGAACCCTAAGAACAAAAAAACGGTCGTACCAGCCTATTCTCGATGTCCGAAGCTCGACAGACTTAGGATGGGAGGTAGAGGCCTAGCGGGTCTGTCTGGCAGGATCAACGCACGGAGGCATCATGGAGGAGAGCTCTGAACGGCAAATCCCGTTGACATAGCTGTAGAAAAGAGCAAGATCGCCGAACGGTCGTCGGTGTGAATAAGTTCCAAGTAGAATTGCCATCTCCTTAAATGGCTGGTCGATCTCGATTTCCATGACGCCCCTGGATCTGCCCTTGACCGAACATATATTTTTAAAATTGACATAACATCTGACTAAAAAACTATGTTGAATACGGTACGCTGTACAATCATGGTTGCATCTGCCGCTTCATACTGCTGGCGCTGGGCGATTACGCGAATACCGCGTGGACCAGAAAGCCTACCAAAAGCCGAACAGGCCGTTCATACAAACATTTAGGTCCGTATCGTCAGTCGTTCCTACAATATTGTAGGACGCCTTCATGGCTGCCTTGATTATTATCATAGTTTTCTATTGTTCGGTGTCATCGCTCTATTTTGAGGTTATGTCACAAATATCTATTGGTATCAAATTGTCCATGCTTTTTATTTATATCATCTGATTTATAAGCCAGAAATTTTCTACAATTCAAAAACAAAACATAACTCCACAATAGTAGAGCGCTGACTCTGACACGGAACAGTAGAAATCTAGAAATACCCCAGCCTTTCTGAAGGAGAGAAAATACTATGCAAATCAGAGGCCATAAAGCTATCCACAATTGTAGGAACTACTAACGATATGGCTCTTATTCTGACAGTCCAAACTTGTCCGGCTAAAGCCGGACGGATGGCAACCGTAATCTCGAGACTGTCCGTTAGAGAAGTTATGTAGCCGACCAAGTCATCAATTTCTAAATTCGTTGAAATAATTCGTCATGCCGCCTACCCTTGTAAAGATTCGTCGCATCCATAAAATAGAAATAAAGATAAAAACTAAGGACAGAACAAACACTCGCATCTGCAAACCACCCAGTGAACGCCAAGGGAAACCAAGAGGGTCACCGTCAGTTTTACCTAAATGCTATGTATAATTTTATAATTATGTAAGAGGACATCTCGAATTGTGGCCTCAGCATTACAGGAATTCCCAATCCATTGAAATTATTGAAAACTGCAGGGTTTGCCCCAAAGCAATTAAAGCCTCGAGACGCCATTGAAGGGGGCGTGTTTCGTAAACTTGAGGGAAGACTGTACGCTGACGACACTCCTTGAGGTGGGACAAGGGAACGTAATTAACCAATAGAGTTTAAGGTCATTTTGAGTTCAAAAATTAAGTCTAACAATCATTGGTCAGGTTAGTTTCCATCTTTAGAGAATCAGACGCCCATTGCAAGGGTTGTAAACTGATCGACCAATGAGGAGACAAGGACTGAACTCACTAAGTCAAAATGACCAGCCTTCTGATGGAGGGGAAAATCCGCAACTGACCTCCGATAATTTTGAAACTAAAACTTCAGTTCTTCTCTTATCTTTGATTTGTACGGTTGAAAAAGTTGCTTCGATTTTCCCTCAGTTGGTGGCTGTTAATAAGTGCTGCATTGGTAGAATTTGTGTCAAGTTGTGTTCTCATCAGTAAGCACTTCCAGTTACTTTAAAGGAGGCTTTTCCCTTCCTTCTGGCTAAAGCTAACACCGAGTCAACTAAGGATTCTATGCATTAGCTTGATTAATTAGCATTGTAAAGTTGAGATTCTTGAGTTTAATTTTGTTATTAGGTTCAAACTTAAATTTATTGTAAACTAGTTGTCACCGTTCCTTTTAACTTAGTCGTAATTCACTCCTCCAGTGATCTTTTCCCCAGCCTACTAGTTTTACGAAGTTAACTGTTCTTTGTCATTGCTACTTCACTCTTCACGAGTGTATAGATGTTTTGAGTCTGTAAGTCCATTATTAATAAAAATGAGTCTCCTTTAACTTGAGTTCCAATAATTTCATTAACTGAAGCTAACTGAGTTCGAGGGTTCCGAAAGTATTCATTCGGGCGTTTGCCACATTCTCTGATTACTTGGAGAACAGAGGAAGCATCATTCCGCGTAGTGAGTCTTTCAATGAGTCAAGATTATATTCAGGTCAGGTTCTACGCGAGTCTACCTCCTATAGGAAGACAAGTAAAAGGTAACAGAATTTGAAATTCGAGGGGTCTCGGACCAGTCCAGAAATTGAAGTATTGGATTGGAGATCCGAACTATATATTCAAGGCACGACATTGAGAGGTCCTGTTACAGTTACATCGATCAGTCGGACATCCCTCCTCTGAACAGCATCGAGTATGGACAATGTACTTGGCACCCCAAACATGTGAACAGTATCCGAGGCTAGGCCTCATCTGGGCCTTGTACAGAGTGGGGGAATTATGCAGAGAAAAATACTTCTTTGCCTTAAAAATATGTTTGCCAGTAGCTGTTGCGATTGACGAGTATGTTCTTGCCAAATCAAAATTATAGTTGCCAGTTGAAAGTTTAATGATGCCCAGCCTTAATGCCTTAATTTTATGTTATCCTTGTCATAACTCGATGAATCGGTATAGAATCCAAAGAATGCAGAACAATTGTTGCAGGTTTGTATATGGTCTAAGAGAATATAGACATGTCTCTTCTAAAATCAAGTAGTTGAAATGGCTGAAAATCGATCAACAATTTGAATGTTATCTTAGGGTGTTTGTGCATAAGATAATATGTACTAAAAAGCCTATTTATCTCCATAGTAAATTGAGAACTAGATGAATCAATCTTAAAGATATGATTTATCTAATAATAACCCTACGCATCTTGAAAAGTGACATTATGTTTGTGGCGGTTGCGACAATGCAACAAATTAAGTGCCTTAAGTGGCCAAGAAAAGAACCACGAGGCACTAAATTGGTGCTTACTTTGATCCCGTGGTGTGGACGTAGGCAGGGGCCCGTGGTCTCTTCTGGAACTTCTTAACAGCCACTTGCACAGTAATTAGCGTTTATAAAACAAGGCGGTTTCACAAAACAGCGTTAGCAAAAGTACGTAATTCTAGCCACGGTTCTAGCGATTCGACGGCTGGTCTTGTTCTTCTTCGCGGCTATAGTCAAATACCAGAATTGATAGTAGTCATCGTGCGCCACTGCTTTGACGCTGTACCTTTTGTTTATAGACGTTTCACAAAGAAGCGCCACATTTTCGAAGGCCTCCGCGTAATAGCAGTGGCGTACGATGAGTTTCGCTACTGTCATCAATTTTGGTATTCTAGAGAGTGCGCTCTATTTCTTTCTTCCAAAAAACCATAGGCGCGACCAAATTTAGTGCCATGAAAACAACGGCGGAGCAAACCAGAGAAATTAAGTTAAATTGACATTGCGGTCGCAACAATGTTGATTTTTTGATATTATATGGGTTTTCCTATAAGATGTCAACATGAAATTAGCTGTTGTTTACTTGAGTCCATTCCATTCGTTGTATAGCTAGCTGTACGTGTTTCCTGAGCGCTTGAGCTGTTATGGTTTGGCTCTGATGTGATGTAACATCTGCTTCAGAGATGACATTAGAGGTCTAGGCTGTAAGTTGTAATTGTATTATATAGCCTAAAGGAACCGGGCGAAACGATAGTGCATGGGTGTTGGTTTCTTGTATCAAATACACTTACTTGAAATATATACTTCATCTAGGAAATTGTATATGCAATTTTGCTGAATTTCAAAAATGAGACAGATAAAAAAGAATTATCCCTGATTTTTAACTAACAGATGAGAAAATAGGCTACAGACAGGAATATTTATGAAACGTGAAAAGGTTGTTACATCTTACATTATTTTTTATTTCCAGTCATTTAAATTTTATAGCAATTTACGTTGAGATGTTAATTAGAAAATTTGAAACAGTGCCCAGATGTGATGTTTTGTGTGCGATGCATCATTCCCAATTTTTCTGTGATGTGGCTTAATTACACATAACGCGGGCGCGGTGGTGATTTCTCGTAATGCTGCTCAAAGTTTTTGAAAATGGGGAAAATCGTAATTTATAACTTTGAACACAATATTTCTTCAGAAAGGACAGCACAAATAACACGTCTGGTACAGCTAATAAATAAACTTCATGGGCAGCATATTCAGTAATAATTTTCTCACATACCAAATATCACTGATTTTATACACATAAAGACCAATACATACAATCACCACATAAGCATTCAGATGCTACTCAACCAATTTTTTTTCTGTCACATCTGCTCAGAGATATACTCGTACTATACAGACTATCTCGTCATTCTGCAACCAACAAAGCTTTGTGACGAACTGAGTTGCAGCATGGTCGTTGAGCATGTCGTTGAGACATTCCTCCATGGGTAACGCTCACAGCGCTCATAGCTATTTGCACTCGATGAGCTATCTAGTCAGCAAGCTGACATTTTGTCGTTTTTTTCCAGCCCCTCTTTTTTTGCTAAGATGGAGAGAGTTCAAGCACAAAGATCTGTGCAATTTTTTTTTCTTGACACCCTGTATGTGCTCCAGATTCCAGGTCATCTTCCCCGGTTTATGTATAGCAATCGTGTCACTGCAGCACAGGAAGCATGTAGGTAATCAAAATGAACCGTTAATACAAAAGTAAAGTAAAATTTATTGTTAGCGGTGATTTCATCGATGCTGGGTATAAATCGTGGCATCGTTTAACTAATTTTTACGAGCGAAGAAGAAAAATACGGCAGCCGATCTGCCGCGGATTTACTCAGGCTAAATTTATGGTTATTGGCCAATGGGATATTTCACAATGTCGCTAATTTCGACAGATTTATCACACTAAATATAGCGTATTTATGCTGCAGAGGCTACTGCAAGCCAGTAAGGGTTTTTTATTAAAAGTCGTTAAAGAAACTTTTTTTACAGTGCCACTTGCCACCCACTGAGTACAGTTGCTGGTAGGTCAGTAGAAAAAATGGCGTCAAGTAGGTTAACTGCGCACTACCCACGTCATGCTGTCATCAGTTCATAAAACATTATTTTCTTGGAAAGAAGTTACTACTTAATAAAGGAACAATGGGTCAGTCAAATAGGTTCATACAATTATTTGTCAGCCCCAGACCATGGCTTTTTCTGCGAATCTGGCTGCCTCCTGAAATTTGCATGTTTAGCATACTTTTATATACCATAATCCAGATTTTTAAGATTTGGCTCCACCTGAAAAAGTATGAACCCTCACTCTTCAAAAATTGTTGGTGCTAAACCATGGTTAATGATGCAGTACTCAAGTAAAAAGCAGTAAAGCGTAGGAATCGAAGTCCAAAGAAGTTGAGTTTAAAATTCGCAAATTTTATATTATTACGACACAACAAAAGTGGATAAATATTGCAAAGTTACATGACTTTATAGAAATTTACTTAAATGTGATTTCGGATCATGATTTTTGTCAAGCCCTAAAATAAATAAGATTCGGTCTTTAATTGTCGTAAATAAAAAAGCAGTAACATGTCATTTACTCTGAAAAAACAAATTAGCTGATATTTTTCATAGTTTTCATATTATATTTATATTATTCTTTTTAAGAAAAAACGCAGTAATGGCGTATTTTATTTTAATATAATTTTTTCATATTTATATTCAGATTAATAGCACAAAAGTAAATCTTTTCAACATATAATTCAATTTAATAATTATACTGTTACATTTAATAATTACATTCAGCAAAAAAAATTACATAAACAAACTAAAAATAGCATTATTTCTTTTATATTAAGTTAAACGAAGAATATTCTTCAAAAGTAATTATTTATAACCATGAATACCAATTCACAAATAATAGAATTATTACATGAAAAACTAAATCAGTAAACATCATAACAGGTTATAAAGAGTTAAAAAGGTACTACTGTTTTTTTTTTACTTTTATAAATTCATTTACTTATTTTATGCTTAGGGAATTACAACCAAGTTCCCACAAGTATATAAAACTCCTATACCATATTTCAAATTTACCTTGAATCTAGTTAGTTGATCGATTTTTTAAGCTTGCTTCTTATGTGTATATTCTGCTTGAACTACCAATATAAATAAGCTAGATGATTGTAGATCCTTTCCCTGATATATGTGTTTGTTCTATTTTTTAATCTTTTCAATTACCATGTGCTATGTATGGTTGTGATAACAGGGCTGGCACCTTGATCAGTAGTACACTGCCTACTAGTCATTTTTGCAACTGCGTTTTTGTTTTAGTACATTTATGCAATTCTTATTATGTTTTTGTATTGATAGTTGCAAATAAATCCTATTATTTATTTTTTTATTCCCACGGCGTCGACTGCTGAGGTCATTTGCCATGCCTATTATCATTATTATTAAATGTAGTGAATATGAAATATTTGACAATGTGAAAAATAGCTATATTTGTTAAATAACGTGAACAATGGCATATTTTGTAATTGTAATCATAAATCATGTATTGGCGTCAACATTTAAAAAAGTTAGTTAATGAACCTTTACTTAAGTACGGAAGTATAGTTGCGTGGAATTACCGGGGTTAGAAGCGTATATATATATATATATATATATATATATATATATATATATATATATATACACCTCCTATCACCACCTACCTACTTTTCACCCATCAAAGATTTTTTTAAAATGAGCATGAGTCTTTGAAATGTCAAAAATCGAAGTTTGAACGATTTTTTGACGTTTTTTTGCCCCTAGCGATCCATTTTCAAAAGCTAAATAGATTTTTGGTCTTTGGCATATTAATTACTTTGTTGCAAAATTTCATCAACACTCGAGCGGTATTTTCCAAGTTATAAAGGGGTCAAATATCAGCTGAGATATAGACACACAGAGAGACATACAGACCGACAGAAATGTGTGACGTGGTTTTTCGTGATGTAATCTCATTTTCGATATTTTTCGCAATTACAGTACTCCCTCGCCAGTTGCGTGAGAAGTAATAAGAAAAAAGGTTTGCTGAACTTGGAAAGTTCATATTACCACGAATTTTAGCATTACTACAACGTAATCTTTTGGAATAAAATTTTGGAAAAGTACAATACGGGTTAGAAAACATAAAAAACATCTCTTTATTTGCAATCAGGACGATAAGAACTAAGAACCCTGAGACCGTCAAGTTCTAGATACATAGAGCATAACTAAGAGTGATCTTTAACATGTTCGGAGCTTAACATGTAAAAAGGTAAACATTTTTAAATACAAATGAGAAAGATCGATATGTAATAAATAATATCCAAAAATAGCAATTTCTGAATGAAATTATAGATAAATTCAAATAGGTTTTGACTATTACGATTACGGAATTCGACTCGTTTTTTGTGGTCTTCTAAAAATATAGATCTAAAGAGCTGAAAACCAAATGTAAAATGAAACATGTAGGTCGATCTATTTTAGTCCAATTTTATGTATGAGAGATGTAACCATTTTTCAGGAAACGTGTTAAAAACTGTATCTGGTGAACTTAACATGTAATAATTACATCTCATTTTTCACGAAGAAAGAAACATTAACAAAATAGAAGCAAATTGGCGAAAACTGTGGTTCTAGAAAAATACAATTATTGTAGTCATCTTTTTATGTAGTTACAAATTCGATTTGATCTCAATCAAGCTGTGCTAATTAAAAATATTTTTTGGCAGTATTTCCGTCGAATAACGATAAACATTTACGCATTAGGAATTCAAAAGTAAACACGGCAGAAACATTGATTGGAATGTATAGGTACCGCACGACGCTAAGTAACGCCAACCATACACGCCAGAAAACACCTCACGAAGAAAGAAACATTAACAAAATAGAAGCAAATTGGCGAAAATTGTGGTTCTAGAAAAATACAATTGCAATCATCTTTTTATGTAGTTACAAATTCCATTTGATGAGATCAAGCTGTGCGGAATTAAACATATTTTTCGGCGGTATTTCCGTCGAATAACAATAAACATTTACGCATTAGCAATTCAAAAGTATACACGGCAGAAACATTGGTTGGAATGTACAGGTACCGCACGGCACTAAGTAACGCCAACCATACACGCCAGACAACACCTGACAGTTTTGTCTGTTCAACTGATTTTTTTACACCGAAGCAACCGCGCAGACAATAGCTACAGGGCAGCGCGGCTGCTAAGCAAAGCCGGGACAAAAGGGTCCCGAGACTGTCCATTAGAGAAGTGTCATCGATCAGTCGGACAGTCCTGCTCCGAACAGCATCGAGCATGGATAATGTAGTCGGGGCGGCAGCACTCCAAACATGTAAGCAGTACTCGAGGCTAGGTCTTATCTGGGCATTGTACAGAGTAAAAAAGTAAGTCTTAGCCCTAAGCAAATAGCCTAGCTCTTCGCAGCAGCTGCCGCTATTATCGAGATGTGTTCATGCTAGATCAAGTTCTCGGTGATCTGGATTCGGCCATCGGTCGAAACCAGATGTGCGTTGGAAAGCTCTTGTTAGTCAAGGTACAGTACTGTCATTCGCATTACGAGGGATGTCTTTTAAGTTTTGCATGTAGAAACATAGTAGGCCGCGCGAACCGAACGTCAGTATTGAATCTTAACCTCACTCTTTAGATTGAGGCGTCCTTGAAGATCTCAAAGACCTCAATTCAAAAAAATGTACATGAAGAATTAGGAGTAAGAAAATTAGTTTCTCGATGGATACCCCACCTGTTGACTGAAGAGCAGAAAGCAGCCAGGGTTAATTGGTGTCAAAAAACGCTTGACCGTTTCAATTCCGGAAACTCAAAAAATGTGTACAGCATTGTTAGTGGTGATGAATCGTGGATTTACTGTTATGAACCAGAAAATAAAAGACAGTCGGCTGTTTGGGTGTTCCAAGATGAAGAAAAGCCAACAAAAGTCATCCGTTCTCGAAGTGTTTCGAAAAAGATGGTCGCGACATTTGGTCAAAAGCGGGTCATATTGCAACAATTCCTCTTAATGACCAAAGAACTGTTACTGTGGATTGGTATACCACCATTTGTTTGCCAAAAGTCATCACCGAGCTTCGAAAAATCAACCCCGAAAGAAGAATCATCCTCCACCAAGACTATGCAAGCTCGCACGCAGCCCAAAAAACAAGGCAGTATTTAACGGAAGAAAACGTGGAACTATTGGACCATCCTCCATATAGTCCCGATCTAATTCCTAACGATTTCTTTACTTTCCCGAAAATTAAAAACAGACTGCGTGGTCAAAGGTTGCAGTCACCAGAAGAAGCAGTTGACGCATTCAAAAATGCCGTTTTGTATCTGCCAGCAAACGAGTGGAATAAGTGCTTAGAAAATTGGTTCGAGCGCATGCAGATGTGTATTAATCTTCGTGGAGAATACTTCGAAAAACAATAAATCCATTTAAAACTACCTACCGTGTTGTTTTATTTCCATATGCAAAACTTAAAAGACATCCCTCGTAAACTGTCCAAGATTGTTGCGTCCCCGAGCAGTAATAACCTCCAGGTCGCTACTAGTCTTCTTTTCTGCAGCCCTTATCTTGCGGCCTGAGGGTAAGTCAGCCACCGAAATGTGCGTGTATGGCTGGCATTAGCCTTTCAAAACTCGGAAAAAAGATTGATTAGAATGTATAAATGTGTAGCAACTGTGTTGAGTAAGATAAGCCACATGGCAACGGACTCTGTATTTTTGCCGCGGTGCGGAATTTTTTCATCATCGGTCCAGAGCAGGATGTAGAAAAACATCCGAGCATCGCATCGAGGTGGCTTTGAACGCTTTATTGCTGGTTGTAAATATAGTAGACATAGTTTTCGCAAGGACTGTACGTGTGCGGCCTTCTTCAGTTCACGGTTGAGTGAAAAACCTGGCACGAAGTCTGGAAAGCTGACAGCGCAATTTTTTGAATGATTTGTTACGGTGAATCAACAGATAATGGACTAGGGAATGTATGTTTGTCTATGCTAGATTTTTGGGTCGAATAATACAACTACAAAAATGTATCTATTATTTTCCGTCTAGATCTTTCATTCTCGGAACTGAAAATTTGTAAAACATACAGGGTGATCCAGAAAAACCTGCCGCCCCGACTACATTGCCCATACTCGAAGCTGTTTTGAGGAAGGCTATCCGAATGATCGATGCCACTGACGGGCAGTCTCGGGATTCTTTCGCACCGACAGGCCATCGCGTCAGTGATCTGACGCTTTTCTACCGCTAAGTCAACGGGCTTTGCTCCTACGAGCTTTCCTCCATGATGTCGCTGCAGGATGAGCCTGCCAAACAGACCGGCCTGACTGCGGTCTCCCATCCTAACCGTGCCAGACTTCATATCTGCCGCAGTGGCCTTTTTGTCCTTAGTGTTTCGAGATTATCGAACAATCTGCCTGATGGGGGTTTTCCCAATTCTACAAACCTTAGGCAGTTCAAAAGACTCTTGAGCTCCTTATAGCAGCCGCGATACCCCGGTATTTAGGCTTCTGTCTATGCAGCTGCTTGTATTGGGAATTTAAGGAATCTTAGACACGGTAGATAGATAGTTGTAGTCATCATTCTTGGCGGTTATGTCAATTCCATATGAAATAAGTAAACAGATCGAGTCTCCGTACCATGGTCGCAGACTAATCTTCAGCGCATCTGCTACTGACTCCAGTACGCAAGAAGTGGGTTCATTCTTTTCCTGGAAATACTCTAATAAATTTAGCACGAGCTGTAGGCCTTCTCCATTGATCATATTCATTGTACAATTTTATATTGAAGATTGATATGATCGAAGGGCGCTCATACGTAACGACAAAGTTTTCGAGACGGAGACACACAACTAAAAAACCTATGTCTTCGAGCTTACCGAACAAACGTTCACACACAAGGGTAGGTTGCATGTGTATGTATGAGAGAGATGGATGTATGAAAGCAATTCCTGTAGTTTTTCTTTGAACCGCCAAAAACCGTGAAAAGAACTACATAAGGGAAACTGTGTTTCCCATGTTTACCTAGTGGACTCATTATATACTCATGTTTTGAAAAATGATAACTGTATTATATTATACTTCTCGCGCATAGGTACTAAAGAGACAAAAATAAAAAAACACAAAGGAGCGTGATGGATTGGCGGAAGCAGTGAAAACAGGTTTGGAAAGTAGTATTCCATCCAGGGATAAAATCGCCCAAGTATCGTCCATTTATAAATTGAAACTAAATAAGTACGACCTTTCATTTTTGGTATCAAAACAGCACAAAATCTCGGAAAATTACCTAGACATCCTGGCCTTAACGGCTGCTTTTAAATAAATAAATCAGAACAAAATCAAAGTTATGTACGATATAATTCAATCAATCGAAACTATGGCGCAATTAAATTCGACGTACATTTTATAGTTGCCGTAAATTCCATCAACAGTCGTAAATTCGAATGTAATTCCGTCAAAGTGGTCGCAAATTAGAGCCGATTCAATCCGGTAAAAATCAAAAAGAACAATGCAATGGAACGACTGGCATTATCAGAGTATAAATAGAGAGCTATCCAGATCTAGAACCGCTCTTTGAAGGCACTATAAATAATTCCATCAAGTAGATGAGATGGTCCACATCTCGCTACTGGCACTTGATTTCACATTACTCACAAGTTATAACAAAATCTCCCTTACATCGACGAACGGTGAATCATCTGGATCTCTGCTACCGATACGCCAATTGAATTTGATGTTTCTGTCATTCATTTCAACTGGATGGAGATCAGTGGCGGATGTAGGAATCTGTGTACGGGAGGGTGGTCACAGGATTCATGTTCAGGAAGATTTTTGGGGGGGGATATCAGAGATTGAAAATTTTGGAAGGCTTAATTAAGCAGAGCTTCTGAAAGCAAATAAGTTATAGACCAAGAAATGATAATAATAAACGTCTTTATTTATAATGATACATTATAAATAGGCAAAGCTTATCCTCTACTATTCTTCCACTCTGGTGTGATTTATATACATACGTATAAATATACACAAATACACACATACGCACACATGTTTACAAAAATGTTAAAGTAAACCATTCAATAATAGGAACTATTACAATTACATATGCAGAAGGCAGAGAAGGTGCACCTTCAAACCTAGTTTATACTTGTTTAGAGTCATACAGGTATTTTTCAGATCGTTTGGTAGAGAATTATATAAGGAGATTGCATTAAATGTGAAAGATATTGTGAATATGAAAGTCTTGTAGATTGGAAGTCTTTAATATTTCTAAAGATTTGTTTCATTTATTTTCATTTCATTTCTGTGTTGACGCATATCTGGAAAACGAATAATTCTGTTTCTTAATGAGCATTGTTTTATGTATGGTTGTAAGCAATAAATATTTGAATTAGTATTTACACTTTAGTTCATAGCAACTTTTAGATCATTGCTTCCTAATAATGAGTTCAATAGGATCAGAGCATTTGTCACAATTTTGATAAACGCGTGTGATCGAAAATTTCTAAAACCATTCATTCTATAAAAATGTATCGCATAGTTAACAGATTACGAAAAATTAAAGGGTAAAGGTACATGTAATGATCTTCGCACTTATAATGGCAAAACTAAAAATCTATGTTAAGAGTAAAAAAACACAATTATTTGTAGAGAATAGAATTTACTACAAAAAAGTATTTTGCGGTTTTTCGGCACCTTGTTGGTTCTTGGACTATAAAGAGACGTTATCCAAATACATTATTTGTGTGGAGATAGCTTCATAATCATTATCTGTGATCAAGACTACCAAGTGAATCAATTACTCCCATTAGTCTGTTTATTGACGATTTTGTAACTGAGTAAGTATCGTTCTAGCGATTTTGATGGAAGATGAGATGTAGTAGATAATGCTGGTTTATGGCATCTCTCCCTTTCCATTAAAATAGACGCAACGGTTGCTGCTTCTACGCAATGACAGAAGGGTCGATAGTCAAACTGACGAAAGTGAGTGACTTGTATTTTTAAGAGGGATATCAGAAATTATCACAAAATATACTAAGTGACATATAAATCCGAACACCCAGTTTAAATGGTTATATTTTAATAAAATTTTATTAAAATAAAACCATTTAAACTGGGTGTTCGGATTTATATGTCACTTAGTATATTACATTTTCCATACTTACGCGTGGCAGTGAAAAAAGTATTCGCTTTAAAATGGTATAGATAATGATTTGTGGAGTTATCTCCACGTGAAAACGTGTTGTATGATGGCACGTGAATAGTCCTGAGTAACGTACAGCACTTTTTTCTAGAAAGTTTTATTCTCTACAAAAGAGGTTACTAGTTTTCATTCGCTTAGGTTGTTAGTTTAGCCATTAGGGGAAAATAACATCATGACTTTTACCCTTAAATTTCTCGTAGGTTGTTGACTATATGAGATTTTTTATAAAAGCAACATGAACAAGAATTTAATTCCATATATAATTGTTTTTATTATTTTTTTACATAGGATCGATGGTTTTCAAGATCTTTGAACAAAATGACGGCAAATCATGACGAAAACTTGAGCTATCATCAAGAAACAATAACCCAACAATACCAGAAAAAAAATGCATTGTCGCCGAAATTGTAGAAATAAATTACCTACTTCCTGGCCTATTGTGACACATGAAGCGCAGGCGTGGGATACGTCTTGATGAAGGAGGTGGTACGAGTCCACGATTCAGGTACAACAGCAATATGTACGGTACGACCGCTCCTTTATTTCTAAGATATCGATAACGTAAAACAATCTGCCAGAAGTAAAGCTGGCCGGTTTTGGACGAACCAGTACAAGAAGGAACGATAAATAATCTGAGAGAAGTCGAAGGAATCGATTCCGAATTAGCGATTTCGAAATTCGCAAAATTAGTTGTGATAGTTATGACCGATTTATCTCCAAACATACAAGATTTTCAAATAGACGTCTGCATGTGTTGAGATGATAGTTCAACTTTTTGATAAGCAGCCGCGGTATCTTGGTATTTAAGCTCCGTCTTAACGGCTGCTGCACTAAAAATAAATATTTTTATTAAAATTTATTTCTCCACTTCCTGGTCTTTAGACTTTGCAAGTAATAGGCGTGAAAAAATATATTTATGTGGACAGCTGGACCAATATGCCGCAACATTTCGAAATATACTAAGTGACATATAAATCCGAACACCCAGTTTAAATGGTTTTATTTTAATAAAATTTTGTATAAGTACTTAATGAAGCATAATAAGTAAATGATAAAAATTTCAAAATGATTGCACTACTTTAAAGCCCTTTGACCTTTAATAATGTGTGGATGCACCCTGATGTGCTACGCATTCTCCAACGCGCCTAGGCATGCTTCTGATCAGGTGGTCAATGTCCTCCTGTGGTAGCTCATTCCAGGCAACCACCAACTCCTCTCGAAGTGCTTCTAGAGTCTGAG